GTTAGGTAACAAATAATTCCAGATTTGTTTTTGTGATGTTTCCTAACTGAGTGTACCTTTGATGTAGTAAGCCTATGTATGAACTGAAAGGTTTGCTATCAGCCAATAACAATTCGTTTTTCCTAATGGGTATAAACTATCAATAAGAAAGACTCCAGTAGAGACAACCAGAATAGTATTTCCTTCTGTTTAGTGGAATATGGAGAGTTTGGAAAGAATTACATGAGAATTTGAGGTTTAAAATATTTCTTTCTAAAGTTGATTGCATATCCAATTCAGAGTGGACCAGTTCCTACTGATTTAATGTTCATTCTATGGAAAAACCCTGCTCTCAGTGATACATCAAGCACATCAACTAATGAATAGATGCTATCTAAAATTTGAGAATAAATTCAAGGCAAGGACAGTGTAGTCAAATTCATTTCTTCAAAAACTTTTATGTGTATTTGAGACATAGTATATATATTTGTTAAATTAAGCTAAATAAAGTTTATGTTGACTTCTGAAAGAAATAAAAGTTAAAAATAATATCTGACATAGTTATTATAAAAAGAAAAAGTCAAATAACTCTATTGACTCATATTCTGATTGAGGAGCACCTCCCAAAGTACAGCTCTACTTTTTGGAGTGTTCATGTGAAAAGCCTTAAACATTTTTTTATTTCAATGAGAGTATGTTGAAATTTGTGTTTGGAACAGTTAAGATAATCATATTAAGAGAAGGAATACATTTGTTTAAAAATCTCTTTTCTGAATAAAGACATTTATACTAAGTTAATAATAGCTTTTGATTCTTATCTAATTTAGTTTAAATTAACATTAAACATCTTATAGATGTTTAACATTAAACATCCTATAGAAAAGAATCATCATTCAGTTGAAATTACTCTTCAATATACTGAATTTTTAGGCAAACCATAGTCAGAACCAATACTCTGTGAGTGCAAGTGATCCAATTTATGTGAGAGGACCTATAATACTAAAAGCATCATATTGGTAATTTCCCCATTATCAGCCTCTTCTAAGGGAACCTACAGGACCTTTTCAGATTTTCCGTGCTTTCTTTGGATGATAAGAAAAAAAGGGTATAGTGAAAGAAGCCAAGAAAACAAAAAAATAAAGGATCAGTTAAAAAGTAGGAGTGGGATGAAAAAGAAAGGTTTAGATAATCTGATAATAAAATAGAAAATAAAGATCTAATACTGGAAAAAATCTTCAGAGGTTTATTTAACTTGTGGATGAGAAATTTAATAGAGAGGAAAAACAAAACAAATGTCTATTTTCTTGTTTCCCATACTGCTGTCTTCAAAACAGATTTGAAGGAAAAGACTCTGAGTAGTGTATAATCTAATGCATTTTTTCACTACTAATTTTATAAAAGTGCTCTTCAAGGATTATATTTGATTTTCATTCATATACTGAGATAAGCTGGGAAATTATAGCTAGAAAGATATTTCATTCTGGTTATAATTGAATAATTTTAAGTAAGGATTCAGAGTGAAGTAAATCATTTTGATTATGGTATACATGACTTACTTATCAATAATTATAGGATAGCTCAGTCAAAAACTGCCACAATTCTTTTCTTGTTAAGCCAAGTGTCATAATTTCTGATTGATTTTTTTAGTTAAATGATTTAAAAGACTTATGTCTTTAATTTATGTTATTTTTATGTTTTCCAAATATGCTTTACATCATGCTTTACAAAATGGAAATTGACAATCCATAAAATATAAAGGGTTTCTTTAATTTTCTAATTTTCAAAATTCAAAGAAGTGTCTTAATAGATTGGGCTAAGAACTCTAGAAATAAACTGTGTGATGCATATTTATTTATCAAAGATTATTCCTGAAGACTATGATTTGTGGGAGGTACCGATTTATTTTTGAATAATCAAGTTTTATGCTTATATATATTAAATAAATTTGAATGTGTACTGTTAAGTCTCATAGAGTTTTAGAAATTTTCAAATGGATTTGGCATGTTAAATGTTAATATTCCTTTTCTCGTTTATGTCACCCAGGGCCTGGGCCCTGTCCCTCAGCTCTTCAGCTCAAGGCTAGCACTCTACCACTTGAGCCACAGCGCCACTTCCAGTTTTCTGTTAGTTTATTGGAGATAAGAGTCTCACGGACTTTCCTTCCTGGGCTGGCTTTGAACCACAATCCTCAGATCTCAGCCTCCTTAGTAGCTAGGATTAAAGGTGTGAGCCACTAGCACCCAGCTAAATGTTAATGTTCTTGAGAATTATAATATTTATGGCATCATTGGGTCCATGATAGGTAGGCAGTGAAGAAGTAGAAATCTTTATATTTAAATGTTTCAGTTTAATCATGTATGCAAACACATGTGTGTATGTATGTGTGTGTGCCAGTACTAGGGCTTGAACTCAGGGCAAATGCACTATAACTCACTTTTTCACACATGGATTGTGCTCTACTGTTTGAGCCACAGATCCATTTTTGGCTTTTTGGTAGTTAACTGGAAATAAGAGCCTCATGGATTTTCCTGCCTGAACTAGTTTCAAACCACAATGTTCAGATTTCAGCCTCCTGAATATCTGGGATTACAGGTGTGAGACACTAACACCTTCCTTGTTTCTGTGTAATTTTGCAAATATATTTCAGCTTTGCTCTGACCATGATGAATGTCAAAATTACTAAAGATTATCATGCTTAGAGTTTTGAAAAATATAAATGGTTTTTATAAGGAATTATGAAGAATGTATAGTTGAGGGACAAAATAGAAAGGGTCTTTTCTAGTATTCTAAAGAAGAAAAATAGAAGTACAAATTAACCAGAAATAGAATAATATCAGACATTTTTATAAGAAAAAATATTCTTAACAGAGATTTAATCTTACAATTGAATCTTACAATAATCTTACAATTATTGAATGTCCAACCCACAGAAGTTTAAACACTTTAATAGAATTTATTTAATCAAGGTATACAGATGTTGCTGACAAAGTCCCGATGTAGGACCACAGTATTATATTCCTTATTTTTCTAAATATCTTTTTGTTGTATTATAAAAATAAATATATATGGTTAATAAATTTAGTTTACATCTGTTCTTAATATATATTTGAGGACAGATAAATATGGAAATTTTGTATTTCCTATAAATATAGCCAGATTTATGTAAATGTACCAAGCAAACTGCAAATAGCATATGACTGATGCGTGCCCATGCAGGTAGATGGTTAGAAAATGTTGCTAGGCATTTCTGACATATTTAAAAAGTAATAGATTTCTGACTATTTCCTTTTTTTGCATATAGGTAAGGAATATGTTAAACATTTCTAGCTTTCTCTACTTCTTTTGAAACAATAAAAATTGTGGTAAGCAAAAACAAGGAGATAAATCAAAAGGAGAAAATATGTGTAAGTACCTAGTATAATGGAACAATAAAAAAATCTTAAAATTAAAAAGGTGAAGATCCTGAAGTAGAAATATTACCATTGATACCATAAATAAATAAATAGTTAAATAAATAAAATATAATTAAGTGGAAATCTGGGTGCATGGGTAGGGCACTTTTATCTCTGACTTCAAATGCAAGACTATGTATTAAGTTAGCATCTTATTCTGTGTGTTTTATGTTTCCTTAACCATTCTTCCCCTTCCACTTAGCATGACAGCCATTTTGTAGTTTCACGGGAAACAGTGGATTAATGATGGAATTTGTTTTTCCACCAGCACTATTTTGATAAACTGATAGCTTAAATTGCCCCCCCCCAAATGCATTTCCCTCTTTTGTTACAAGCTTGTTAGAAGATTATGACAACACAACTTAGATGTGTTCATTTTTTATGTAACTATATTATGGACCCAAGTTGATATTTTATATGTGTGTGTGTGTGTGTGTGTGCATGCACACACACACACACTCATGTGTAAGAGTGATTTATAACCTGTTTGGAGTAGTCAGTTATTTCTAAAAGACTCAGAAAACAGCTGAGCATTTTCATGTACCTTAGCTTCTGCAATCAACATATGAGCATTCTTAAACTTGCCAACATACAGTTATCAGTCAGTTAGGTATGTTTAGGACCATTGTATGACTATCATAACATTCTGTTTAAATTAAATTAATCATTGCAAATTAAATCTAAAAAATATATATAAGAGCATTTATTCAATGTAGTTTTACTGAGGAGAATTGTTTTCCTCAGTATTGTTAATTATTTTTCAGAATTGTGAAGATGACTCAAATGGACAGTCAAGGATTGCTTCCATGCTTCAGTCTGTAAAAGCCATTAGCACAATCGATCCACTCTTAGTCTTCCAGGAGTGATCTTTATAACATAATAGAGAAGTATACGATAGTCAGTAAAAAGAAAAATAGAAGGGAAAAACTTCTATTACCACTTACTAAGAAGCACAGATTTTTCCTCCTTTACCCTCCCCAGTAACTCCCATCTCCCCTAGTCACACCTGACAAGAATGTACCACATGGAATCACTGGCCATTTCTGCAACCATTCTAACAACAACAGGTAGTAACAGTTAAATTGCCCAAAACAAAAACAAACAAGGGAAAATCAACTATACAATCCATAGACTTGATTTTTTTAAAAAAGGTCAATTTAGAAGTTGCTTCATCACAAAACATGAAAGTAAGGTCAGCTATTTCTCATCTACCATCAAACTACATACATCATTAAGGATGAAACACCTGGACCAATTTCTTTAGGTTTAGTCCATGAACACTTTCCAAATACTTCTATACAAAGTAGCACATCCATGCTGAGTTATGTATTATTGTGTAGAGATAATCTGCAGTGGGTCAAGCTTTTATCTGCAGGCTCATCAGAGAGGGCCTATGTAGCATGATTTTAAAATCCAGGTTGGAAGCATAAACACAAGCTGAGCAGCCACAGTCTGAACAGGAATTGTGGTTCATGGAGGGATGTTTGAGAATCAGAAGAGAGGATGGTGGAGAGATATCTTTCATTTAGAAATATTGAGGCACAAAACACAGGTTATTTTTTAGTGCTTTCATACATGAAATCCTTTCTCTTGTATGTGCATCATGTGTAAACGTAAAGTCTGTATGCTGCTGACTATTCGTCTCTGGTGTCCAATGAGTATGACTCCAATTCTCCGAATATCACTGAGAGAAAGGGGTGGGGGGAGAGAAACTAGAGTTAATATAACTGCTTAATTTTGTATTCAATGGAATATAAATGATCAACGAAAGTTTGTTCCATTTTTCTTCTCTCTTGCTCCATAGAACCAAGTTAATCTCAAATTCAATGATACAAGGAAAAACTCACCTCTAGATACCAATATGTTATTGTTTAAATAGTTTTTAGGTAGCTATTTAAATTAATAATGGTAGTAGCACAAAGCATGCAGAGTAGAAGGAATAATGTGGATACTATTTGAATTCTAATATTACTCAATACCATAAAAAGTTCCATGACATCAAATCACATGGAATTGCTATCAACATTTTGAAATCATGATAATTTTACATGATCTGGTAAAATTATTTTAGAATTTTAATTGACTTGTTTCAATTTATTATGCTCTAGCAAAGACTATCTTTGAGATAATAGAAAATAACTAGCAATTATCACAAGTAGAAAGAGCTCTAAAGTGATATGATAATATCACTTTATATGATGAAGGTAACAGGAATCAGTTATACAATATAGTAAACATGAATGATAAATAATTTACCAAGGTAAAGCAATGATGACATAAAGTGTACTATGTGAACAAGAGAAATATGCATTCTATAAACATTTAAAATGTTTGAAAAAGCTATTTGAACTAAATATACTCATTATATGTATAATAGCAATATAACAGCAAGTATAATAGCAATGTCCAACTAGAATGATAGTCACCAAACATGGTAATGACATATTTGCCTTTAGAAAGGTTTTTTTTTTATATTTGAATTTAAAGTTCTCTAAACAGAGCATCTAATTATAGTAAAACAAAACAAAACAACAACCCACTTACTCAATGCTCATTCTTGAAATCAAGTCAAAAGTTGTGAAACCTGCAGCCATGAAATTATTCGTATATTGCCCCATCTTTATAGAGTCCAGCCAGTCACCAACTGTGACAAACAAAGGATATTCAGAAACTTCACCAGGCGACTCTGGCATTCTACAAGGAGGAAAAGAGAGGACACAGAAAGACACAGACACAGACAGAGAGACAGATGCACAGAGAGAACTTTAAAACTAGATAGAACAGAGTTACTCAATATCCTTTTTTTGTTGTTGTTGTTGGTCGTGGGGGCCTGAACTCTGGGCCTGGGCGCTGTCCCTCAGCTCCTCAGCTCAAGGGGAGCACTCTTAACACTTGAGCCAGACCACCACTTCCGGCTTTTTCTGCTTATGTGCTGAGGAATAGAACCCAGAGCTTCATGCATGCAAGGCAAGTACTGTACCACTGAGCCACCTTCCCAGCCCCTCAAAAATTTTGTTTGTAATATTCTTAGAGCTAATATTTAAAGAAATACATGATTATACCTTTTATTTAAATCAGTAACTTAATATTTTACTTATCAAATCAGTCTTTTGACTTAGTTTTCTGCTTTTTTTGACACTATTCAATTGATATCTTGCTGTCTTTCTTTTAAACTTTTTTCTTTTACATAAAAAAGTGCTGTGGAAGATGCGGACTAGCCCCTCCTCTTGTCCCTAAAAGAGTGAAGAGCCCCAAATGATTTCTTCTCACTGCTTCTGACCTAATACTGAATCTGTGTTCTTTTAGGTTTTCCCATAGTTGCTGTGATAGTGCTAATTTATTTGGGCAATTCATTGATCAAACCCAACGTATGTGTTATTAAACATCTAACAAGATTCTATTATTTGTTAAAAATTATATCTGCTGTCATACAATAGATATTCATATTTAAAATATCTCATAATGTTTTTGCCATACATAATTAACTATTTTTTATTGTGAAAATACCATACAGAGGGGTTACAATTACATGGGCAAGGTAATGAGTACATTTCTTATCAAGCATTGTTGCCTCCTCCTTTCTTTCCCCTTCCCATCCCTTCTGATACCCCCCACTTCCCGCCAAAGTTGTAAAGTTCGTTTTTCGAGATTTGTACATCTCCTTGTTGTAATGGGTCCACCTGTATCCCTATTTAAGTGATTTGTTTTTTCCCTTCCCCTCCACAAATTATACCAACATCAAATACAATGAAAGCAGGGGTTATACCGTGGGGGAGGGACTTACACATTAACTATTTTATCTGTAAATAGAAACTACTAATACGTTGAAAACAGTTGATTAAACCACATGATATAAGGATTCCTCCAGCTTGAAGCAGAGGGAATAAACATTCTACTTGGTAATTGTCTGGCTAAAAATGTGTGGGAGTGCAAATAAGATTTAAAAGCTTCTGTTCAAGGTAAAAACTGAAAATACCTAACAATCAAAATTATTCCTAGAATGATGAAAGGGGTAACATGAATCAATATTCACTGTATTCCTAAACTGTCATGTTTAATGGAAACTTCTTTGTACAACTACTTAAAAGTAATGTAATATATAAATTAAAATTACTCTAAAATCCATTAAATTATAAAGAGCTGAGTTTTAGTAGCACAAGTACATCAATCATCTCCTAAAGACTGAAAGTTGCTTCCTTGGGATTCAGGACAGAGTTCCTATTCAATAATTCACTGTGTTGTTTTTTACTGGCTACACAGAATCCCCCCCATCCCCCTTCTTTAAACAGGGGTCCATTACAGGTAGAAGTTAGAGCAGATAAGGATAGTGGGAGAATACCTCAATATTTGTTCTTTATATGTGATTGGAATCTGTAAAATAAGTGCATATATTGTGGTTATATCGTACTCTATATTGAGTCTAGTTATTCTGAACAGTGACTAGCTTTTTTTTTTTTACTCTGACTCCAGTTAATTCTGAAGGTACTATTTTTAAGGTTAAGTCATATTCTTTTTTCCTACAATACAAATCGCAATGCTATTTGACTGTGGGCTGTTTCATTCTAGCTAATAACAGAAAGGCTCATAACTTGATCTAAAACAAAAATTAGCCTTGTACAAAAGGTGAAAGGCTATTCTAGTTTCTATCAAGAAAACTTTGACTTGTCACTCTATTTCTTTGAAGTTCCCTTAGAGGTACACATGTTAATAAATATCTAAAAGTTATCTAACATTATCTAACAATTATGTATGAAATACAAAACAATAAAATCTCTATGACAATTTATCAGGTTTTCAAATTGTAATAGTACCTCTAATAATGTAGTATCAGAATGTAGAAGGGAATACAAAATAACTTCTGCAAAATTTTCTTACATTTTTTTGGTCAGTTGCACATATTTCAAGAAATGCTGCCAAACAAAGTTTAAACATCAGACACTTTCCATTCGTTAGTAACAAAAGTGAACATATTTCGCCTAAGGAAAACCACGCAAGAGAAAATTAAATTTCCTAATTGAAAAAGGTGCGAGTCTCACAGTTTCAATTACTTGTCAAAGAAATCTGTTGGAAATGAGCAAAATTAAGTGTTTAATAAGCGACTTTTCTTTCAGATGGTATGCTTGATGTGTAGCGTTAGAGGATCTCTACTTCTCTGAGATAACACAAGAATAACTCCTGAGCTCTCACAATTTCATACAATTGGTAAGGGGACATGTAATTTTCTAATTTTATGTCCTTACTATAGAAAGGCAGTGGAAGGACATTCTGTAAACTAAATGATTGAGATGGTCTATTTCCCTTTTGAAAAGCATACACTATTGCTTCCAGAATGTTTCTATATCATAATTCCCTTTCTCTGCCCACATCTTTAGTAACCTAGTTACTCTTTGGCCTTTATATGGTGGCACTGGCAGTTGATTTAGTAAGGTCATGTTCCCCTCATTGTTCACAGCCACTGTGCAATAACTTTTCTTTCACCTTATCTCATTGCGAAGTTGAAAAATGGTGCTGGTTTCTGGCTTCCAGGGCTGGGTACCATCATCCTCACATGAATTCACTGGGACGTTATGTAATAAACAATAAGTGCCCTTTCTTATCAAACAATGGCAATGATAAACTCAGTCTGCTATTTGCTGAGCACAGAGAAATCTTTGTTATTTAATGATTAGTAGGGACTGTTTATCTGAGAAATGCTTTCACAGCAAAACCAGCACCTCACATATTAAAAAGTACATATTGTAAAACAGAAGGTCAAGGGTCTGCTCTCTTCTCAGAAAAATAAAGAGGGGATAGAATTTAGGGAATGTTATGTGTAAACTGTGGTCTATTTAGACTAGAGGAAGGACTAGCGTGTAGGTATAATAATATTACAGTTTAAGCAATAAAAACATATGCTGGATACACCTAAGTATATAAAAATGAGTAATGCTGATAGACCAAAAAGTTTCTAATTTAATGAGTCCTTTGAGTTCACAACAATAAGCCTTTTAATTTAAAAGGCTCTTAGGTTGTTAATAGATATCACCATTGCCCCTAAAACTTAAGAAGGCTTTAACCTTAAAATTTTATGTCATTATCATGTCACAAAATATTGTTTTTCATAAGTTATGTTTACCATGTAGATATAAACTAGGAAATGTGATCTATGCAATCTACAAAGCAATATACTTAAAATGATTCAAGAAAAGTTGTTTAAGGAAACATTATTGCAGCTGGGTGCTGATGGTTTATAATCTTAGCTACTCAAGGGGCTTGAGATCTGAGGATCTCTGTTCAAACCAGCGTGTGCAAGAAAGTTCCCATGAGACTCTTATCTCCAGTTAACTACTGGAAAATTAGAAGTGGCTCAGAATGGTAGAGTGCTAGCCTTGAGCGTAGAAGCTCAGGGACAATGTCCTGACCCTGAGTTCAAGCCCAACTACTGACAAAAACAACAACAACCAACAAAACAAACAAAAACTCCAAAACATTATTGCAAGAAAAATACTGCTTTACTATGAAATCATCAATGCATTAAGGCTTTTCTCCCCTTACCATTTTAACATAACAAACAAAACACTACTGTTTAGCAAAACCAGCCAGGTAGAGTACATTCTATTTTATAATGCCTTTATTTCATGTAATTATATTTTCATGTTTCAACAGTTTTCATATTCAAGCCAGTAAAAATATTGTATATGTTGCTTAACAACTTGTTTAAACCCTAAAACTAGACTCACATTGCTAACAACATATTTTCATTGTAGATAATTGTGTAGTCTTAGAGCATGTGTCTTTTTGTTGAATTACTTTCTTGGCAAAATATCTGCAAGATGGAAGATATATTTAAGTAAGTTAAAACTCTCATGTTGTTAGAAACTGTATTTTTATATCTTTCCATTTTATTCAGGCTTTTCACATATGTTGGAAGCATTACAGAAAGCCATGAATCAAAGGATCATTTAGAGTTGAATTTTGGATTCTTTGTAGAAAATTCCCATCCATGATGTAATGGCTGATTTATGATGAATGATCTGTTTCACTGAATTCTATTATAAAAAAATCTAGAAGAATGTCTGTTGATAGAGTGGTTAACTTATTCACAAAAATCCTGTTTATCTCTTTTATTCTATATATCTTTGTTTATTATGTATTTTCGAGTGGGGGAAGTGGGAAGTGTGAGTCAGATGACTCATTGTTAAGTTTCATATGCAGGCATAACCAGACCTAGAACTATCACTGCAAGGTTCACCATATTCTGCATTACTGCTTATACAAGAATTGCTCATCTCACCCTTTACAGCATTTAGTCAATCCACATAATAATAATCTAGTAAAACATTACTTATCTAGTTTTACTTAATCAGATAAAGGAGACAAACTCTATTCAACTTGAACATAAATCAATAAAGTAAATTTACTACTAAAATGAAAGCATAATTGGACTCACAATGCTAAACATTCTCAAATGAATATAATATAAACATGCCATCTATCTTGTGGAAGTTCATACTGGTGAACATTGCTCAAAATAATCTCTCAGTGCTAAATTGGAAGCACAAATTATTTCTGTTAGATTTTTATTTTCAGTAAGTTTTCAGTTTCTTATTGCTATGCACATTGTATGTGTGTGTACATACATATATATATATATGTATAAATGTATACACACACGTAGAGACTGATAACTTGGAGAAAACATCAAAGGATGAAAC